TTCAGCCAAAGGGTCTTCGAAAATTTCAGTTCTCGAGAATTCCTGGAATTTTCGTCATTTCCGGGAAATGACGAAATTTCTAAGAATCGGGGCGATTCCAAGAAGCGACCTCCTGTCACATCATATTCGCCTAATATAAAGTCACGATTTACGATTTTCGACAATTTTTGGCCGAAAATCGACTTTCTAATAGGCGAACATGATACGACAGGAGGTCGATTCCTGGAAGTGACTCGATTCTTGGAAATTTGGTCATTTCCGAGAAATGACGAAAATTCCAGGAATTCTCGAGTACTGAAATTTTCGAAGGCCCATTGGTCAATTCTTGGAATCGCCTCGATTCTTGGAAATTTGGTCATTTCCGAGAAATGACGTAAATTCCGGGAATTCTCGAGAACTGAAATTTCCGGAGACCCTATTTCGCGAATCGCGAGCGCGACACAATGTTGCAAAACGCGTTATCGCGCTTGCAACTTTGTTGCCGCGAATCGTTCTCGAAAAGAGCACATTGTTGCAAAACGGCGCGTCGTGCAACAATGTGCAATTTTCGCGAGCGATTCCGGGCAACAAAGTTGCAAACCCGGTAACGCGTTTGCAACAATGTGCTGTTTTCGGGAGCGACTCGCGGCAACAAAGTTGCAAAAGAGGGAATCGCGCTTGCAACTTTGTTGCCGGGAGTCGCTCCCGAAAAATGCACATTGTTGCAAAACGGCGCGTCGTGCAACAATGTGGAATTTTTGCAGCAACAAAGTTGCAAACCCGATAACGCGTTTGCAACAATGTGCTGTTTTCGGGAGCGACACGCCGCAACAAAGTTGCAAACGCGATTCTCCCTTTTCGACTTTTTCAACGGATAATTGTTTAAACAGTGGGTTTATTGCAAAAAGAAATGGATTTGGAGTGTAAGGGAGCAATAAATAGGCTGTAAAATGTTGTAAAACAATACTGGTATATTGAAACCTTTTGTAATATACATTGTGAACAATAATTTTACAATAAATAACTCATTTATTCATATATAATTGCATATTTATCTTGATATCTAGGGTGTCCTGGAAGGTCCATCTGTAATTCATACGCAAAGAACATTAATTTTTCAAGTTTTAATCAAAGTTATCAATAATTTCCGACTAATCTATCGAATTCAATGGTTAATTTAACGTGAAATTAGCAAATTCAGCTATTTCATTAAGTTTCATATAACAAATCATGTAACAATTTTATTTGATACTTGAAATAATAGCAAACTACCGTCTAAATTGTTATTTAATAAAAAAAACGCTAAATATTTTACAATTAAAGTACTTGAAAATAAACCAGAAACTTTACTTTACTATCTACATTATTAGTAACGTCCAAGTAATTAAAAATCTGTTATAAGTATCAATTTTGAACTACTTTCTACACGTAATTATGCTCTAATTTACAATAACTACCATTAGAACCGAAAAATTCGAAGAATGTATTTTACAAATCAACTAACCTGCTAATACATCCGTTTCCAACGTTGCTCTCGATCATCCTCTCGATTCTTCCTCCGATCGGGATTGCCTGACCATCAGCGAACTGTTATAAGTATCAATTTTGAACTACTTTCTACACGTAATTATGCTCTAATTTACAATAACTACCATTAGAACCGAAAAATTCGAAGAATGTATATTTTACAAATCAACTAACCTGCTAATACGTCCTTTTCCAACGTTGCTCTCGATCATCCTCTCGATTCTTCCTCCGATCGTGATTGCCTGACCATCAGCGAACCACGTAAAGGTAAGTTCGATAGCCTTATTCCATCACTATTCGTTGATCAACGAATCTGATCAATGTCGCATCTTCTTCTACATCTCTCACTTCCCAAATCTTGCCCGAAGTCTTGTGATTGCTTTGCCGGGCAGCGTGATATTAAATCGAAGCGTTAAGTAAGATTGATCGCTGCGTTGAGAAATGTGGGATAAAAAGATGGAACTTGTTAGGAAATCAACGTTTGGCAATCATCTGTCGTTTCTTGCACTTCGAATTTCCTTATTTGCTACGTGAATGAAAAGAAACACGTGATATTAAGAAACCACCGTCGAATCGTTGCTGTGTCATTTATTTAATCATTCGTCAGACACGAAATATTCGTTTATTCGTTTATAATTACGGATAATTTATAAATAACGAACGTACAGAGTAATAAATATATTAAAATTCACGCAATATTGTCTAATTACAATTGCACCTATCCGACATTACTGTAATACTCTTGCTACAGGCGTTTAAAAAATTTCTACCGTTATGCTGAGCGTTGCATTAGCACAGATTCGATGCAATCAGAAAATGCATTGCACACTGCGACAGCATTTTACATTTACAGTGTATAAATGTGAAACTTTTGTCTGTGTTAGATATGACACAAGAAAGTGTCTAAAATAAACTATAACATTAAGTAATAAAATATAACTATCTACTCTCGATATACGTATATAATACTCTCGTCTCTCCTACGATCGATTAACGTTAAAAATTTCCATTAATATTTGACAATTTTGGCTTTTGTTGCTTTCAAGAAAGAGAAAAACAATCAGGTACTCCGATAAAAGCGAAACTGCGTTCAAGACGCTATTAAAGGTTTCCACGAGTTGGAATCATTCTGATCTGAAATCGAGGAAGTTTCAGAGGAATGTAGCATCATTGCTTCCGGTCTGAAGAAATCGATAATCGGGTGATAATTGTAGTTGATTCGCCTCTGTGGTTCCTGATATTCCTCGTCGAAACCGCCATTTTGCAGCCGTGACGTGGCGTCCATGTCCAGGTCGTACGGTTGGCTGTATCTGTGTATGTTTAATTAGGAAGAAAGTTGAATCGTTGTGCTTTAGTATTACCTGTGCGTTAAACTTTCAAGTCTTCAAATTTTCAGACCCTCGAATCTTTAAACCTTCAAATCTCTAAATTATCTTATTTTCAAATATTTCAACTCCCAAATCTTTAAATCTTCAAAGTTTTAAGTTTTCCAAATCATAAAATTATCAGATTTTCACATATTTAAATTTTCGAACCTCTAAATTTTTCAGATTTTCACATATTTAAATTTTCGAACCTCTAAATTTTTCAGATTTTCACATATTTCAACTCCCAAATCTTTAAATCTTCCAATTTTTAAGCTTTCAAATCGTTAACTCTTCAAATTTTCAAACTTTCAAACCTTCAGCTCTTCAAATTAAAACTCCAAGTCATTCACAAAAATTACCTATTCAAAATCGTACTGTTCGCAGTTTCAGCATTCTCCTCGGTATGAGACGTAGATTCCCTCCTGTAAGGTGGTCTACTGGGTCTGCTGGGTCTACCTTTCAGCAACGATCCAGTGTACCCTGGCGCTCTAGTATTCGGTGCATGTTGTTGAGGTAACTTATCGAACGGCCTTGAACTCGATGTAATAGGTTTCTTCGGTCTTGGCCTCACAGGGAGAGTAAAACTTGGTCTACTTGGCGTAGGCTCTACTATAGGCTTCTTATTACTAGAACCTACAGAAGAAATGACAAAAAACCCCTTTACGTATCGTTCAATAATTCTTCCACACGAAAAACGCATAAAGCCTTCTCCCAATCTCACTTACCAAGGTTGGAATCAAAGCTACCCGAGTATTTATTCAAATAATTCAACTTAGAAGCTTCTTCGAAATCGTCTTTCTGTTCGTTGGTGACGAAATCAGATCCAGGAAAGGATTCCTTAATTCTCGAAGGTGGTTCCTTGTGATGAGGAGGGAAAATCTCAGCGTAACCATGCACGTGACAGCTGCAGCAAGATGGTACTTTGAAAATGTCCATATGCAAGCCTAATTTACTATCCCAAGTCAAAAGTCTGTGATAGTTGTACACTTGCATGCAAGAAGATCGATAATTCTCGGAGATAAACGAACAGCTCGACTGTGGACTTCTGTAAATGGAAATTTAACGTCACACTTTGCTTCTTCGGTTGATTTCACGGTGTGAAACGACCGCTCGAAGGGTATTTTTTCATACAGATTCTGGTTTAGTGGTGTTGCGAGCGAAAGCGAAGTAGAATTTTCATCGTAAGAAAAAATATCGAGCTGTTATACCACAAATAAGACGTTTTTGTTCAATGGTTTGTGACGAAGGATCAAATTTCGATTTCTATCGAGAAGTCACGGTGAAGATGATTCGATAAACTTTTCTCGGAAATCGTTCACCGAATCGTTTCGATTCGATCGCGATGATAAGCCATTGGAACGAGTGGCCGTAGTACGGAAATAGTTGTTCGACCGTGATTAAATTAAAACTTAATAGTCGATTACTCTTTTTTATGCAACGAGTGATGGAAATTGATTAGAGTCGCGTGCAACTTACGAACACTTCTCCAGTCGTAAAGTTTGCGTGTGTTCGCCGGTGTTTATTATGTACTTCCAAATACCGGAAGCAGCCCTGGCTAACTGTGGACGCGCGTATTTGATCACTGACGGACACGTGAAGCCTTCTTCGATGTTGTCGAACGGAGATGTTGCATCTGACCTCCTAAAATAAACGAATTATTTCGTTTGTTTAATGTGGTAACATTTGTTTCTGAAAGCTTTAATTAACTTCGGTAACTGAGTAAGAAATTCGAAAAGAAAAAAGAGAATAGAAAGATTATTCAATTTTCTGGAGGGTTTCAGTATTAATTTTTGAGAAATTCAGAATTAATCTTTTTCGAGAACTTCGGTATTAATTTTCCTCGAGAAATTTAATATTAATTTTTCTCGAGGGCTCTGGTATTAATTTTCCTTGAGAAATTCAGTATTAACAATCTTTGGGAATTTCAGAATTAATTTTCCTTGAGAAATTTAATATTAATTTTTCTTGAGGACTCTGACGTTCATTTTTCCTGAGAAATTCAGTATTAACGATCTTTGAGAGTTTCAGAATTAATTTTTCTTAATAATTTTGAAATTAATTTTTCTTTGCTCCTGTGATATGATAATTCACAGCACAGCGCAACTCTGCTGTCAATTAAGTTGCTATTCAACAGGGGCACGAATACAACTTCCACGCTAAACTTCCGCAATACAATACATTTCACAGACACACGCATAAAACTCACCTTCTAATCTCGTTACTCTCGTATCGATTCTCGTATTTATTCTCCAGAGGCAACGCAAGCGGAGTACTTTCTCCAGACTCGTCATAATCCTGCGACTTATAATCCGTCAACAAAGCGGCCACCATCTCCTTATTCCCTCTTATGCTCCTTGCAATCGCCTCGCTAAACAAGTTTCATTCAATTAAAACCAGACACCCATCCTTAAATAATCACCACCTATTAATAAAACACTACTCTTCCGCCAATTCTATTCAAAGGATAAAAACAATCCTCCCACAGACTTTACTCCAAGAATAGAAAAAGGAAACGAAAGTCGATACTTTCGCCTATCGCGACTTCCTTCCTCCACGTGTGGAACATCGTAATTCTCAATTAAAAAGCAACGAATTATTACGAGAACGAGTAGCCGAACCAGCATTACCTAATAAACAATTGAAAAGAATCACAGGAAAGGGAGCTGCGGCACTTTCTTCCGTTTTAACGAGCCCGCGAATTATGTCGTTTGCCATTGTGAAACGACGTTCCCCTAATTAACGCGAACCCCTGTCCTAAGTCGGAGAAAGTCCGTTTTAAACGCGTGTGTCGCCGAATTAGTTGCGCAACCTTTGCGATCCCGTTGAAATCAAGGGGAAAAATAGCAGAGAGAGAAGGAGTAAGTGACAACAGGCGAAACTTACTGCGGATAATCGGTGGCTTCTAGACAGACTGTCTTCGTGAAGAAAGTACATTCCTTTTCCGTTGGATCTCGCTTCACTTCCGTGGGCCGTCTGGGTGGTCTTATTAGCGGCGCTCTCGACAGATCTGGAAAATTATGTTCGTTCCCATTGAGGGATATTGTTGCGCTATCCAGATGGAATTAAAGTTCCGTACACTGTCGTTTATGTGGTATGATTAATACTCGGCAATTTTGGTTTTTTGAAGAGGAAAGGAAATTTAGGTGCTCTAAAGATATGAAACAACATGGAAATGAGATATGAAAAATATGAAACACTATGGAAATAAAATATGAAAATTACGAAACGATATGAAAATAAAATATGAAATGATTTCTACGAGTTCGAATCATTTTTATCTGAAATCGACGAAGTTTCTGACGACTGTCGTTGATTTTGGTGTGGTGAAACTGACAGTGCAAGGGTAATATGTATAGAAAAATTGTAAAAACAGTGAGAATTGTGGAAACTCACCTGCGTAAACGTTTCTTCTATTCAGAGACGTCGGCCTTCTCGGCGGAGGTCGATAACTCGGCCGTGTTCTTAGATTAGGCCTTATAATCTTCAATTCCTGCGGCTAAAATTAAAGAAGAAAGAAACAGTAATTTTACAGTTGAAGAAGAATATTGTAATTTTATAATTAAAGAAGAAAGAATTCAGTAATTGAGGAAGAGAATACAGTAATTTTACAAATAAAGAAGAAAAGCAACAGTAATTTCGCAGTTAAAGCAGGAAGGATTCGGTAATTGAAGAAAAGAATATAGTAATTTCACAATTAAAGGAGAAAATTTAATTTTATAACTCTAAAGGAGGAATTTCTTAATTTCATAATTACAAAGGAGAAATACAGTAATTTCAAGTTATCATTTTATCATACGCTAGCATTTCTCTATCTCAATGAAACAAACGTACTCGCATCCTCCCAGGAAGAATCCCGTTGCATTAATTACACTTAAATTTAAATTTCAACCGTGTTTATCCGCCGAGAAATCTTAACCGTAACCAACAATATATGTCCACCTTAGCATGCGTACGCTTTATCCCGGTTGCTAATTAATGTCTGCAAAGAAGAAAGACATCCAACGTCCTTCGAAGGATTTACAAAGCTCGATCCAACATTCTCCGAGAATTTCGACGAATAACACGATATATACGTCAATTAACGTGAAAGTGTTCGCGAAAATAATCTAAAAAGCTAAAACATGACACACAGACGTCACATTTGGCCTAAGTTTAGAGATCTCCACAGACAACGCCAGTAAGGAAACGAAAATACGGCTGTAAAGACGATTTTCAGCGACGATAAACCTAATTCTCCTAAGGCGTACCTATTTTCACGCGCGAAATTAAAAAATAGAAAGTAGAGGACCAAATATAATTACAGAGAATGACGCTCGTACGAGACAAGATCGCACATTTCGATGTGATTTACGATAGAAAGGAGTTCCAGCCGCGACTTTCTAGGGATCTTCCACGTGAGAAGATAAACAGACGGCCGTCGATCTTTCGTTACGATGTAACAATGTTCGCTTCGAGGCGAAACACTGTCTGAAGTTACTTCGTACGATGTTTCATCGAACCCTGCCTGGATATTCATAGAAGGACTGGAGTTAAATCAACGTCCACCGTTCAATGCACGCTGATTACGCTAAATAAGTCACTTTCCTATATTAGGAGTCGAAACTGGCGAGGATAGATGAATAAAAGTCGTTTCCAATAAAAGACCGAGCAAGTTTTGCCGTCGTCGCGTCATCCCCGATCAAAACAGGGTCAACTGTGGAGTGGAAAAAGAGGATCGAGGATGAACGAGCGTTTCTTTGCAATTCGAACCGATTCGATTGTTACTCAGTCACTGGAGTTAGTTTCTTTTTAAGGTACGAACGAGCTGCGTTGTTCGAAACATCGTAGAAGCGATATGGAATGATTTGAGAGAAAAAATTGTAGGTTGTGTTTTAATGGATTTTCTAGTTTACCTCTGGTAATCCTTCGAGTGTTTCCTCGTCACCAGCGATATCTTCTGATATGACTTTTGCTATGTCTGCGCTTTTTGGTAAAGTCAGCTCTCTGCTCGCGTTTTGCCGGCTTCCGTTGCTCAGAAGTGCGCGGACCTTCTCCAATTGCTGTTAGGGGAATCGAAATAGTAGCAACTGTTGAGAATCTGATCGAGAAATCAATAGATTTAAAGCTGAATTTCTAAGATTTTTGAAGCGATATTTGAAGTAGAGAAAATTTCTTTTTGAATTTCCAATTTAATTGTCCAAATTTCTTATTTAATTTTCAATTTTCAAAGTTTAAAAATTCTTAAAAATTCTTGAGTCGAGCATTAAGCTTAAACAATTCTAGAATAGAAAGATACTCGATAGTTGTTTAAAATTTATTAAACAAACGCTAGATGCGACAAGCATCTGTAGTTAATTCTCATCGAGAAATATGTAACACGGGAATAGCTAACCCCGAAGTAAAAAGCACGGTTTCTCCACTGAAACGCGAGTCATCCGACCTTCTCTCGTCTATCCGTCAACGTTAACGAGATAACGATACGTTTAGCCGGTTAAATAAGCCGCGTTTAACCCGAGCAACGCGGCGTGCAAGCGTTGTTTAAGCAAATAGAAACTTCTTCTTTCACTTACACTCTCCCGCGTTCTATCCGTCCTGTTCTTGGACGGTCCGTCGTTGATCTTGATGGACGTGACCGTCGTCCCGTTGTTTTCTTTACGGTCGTTGAGGTCCACGTCGTCTTTGTGATTCCTCTCGGCGCCGACGTTAATCGAGGACAGTAGCACGACCGCCTAGAGAGTGAAACGATACCCCGTGCATTCGCATAAACTCATTATTACCGCCCAAAAGTAACATTCTGGGTCAACGAGAACTCGATCTCTGCATCGTTCAGAATCGACATTATTTGCAACTTCCTTCTTTATATACAGGGTGTTTGGTAACTGGTGGTACAAGCGAAAAGGGGGTGATTCTAGATGAAGACGCATGCACCCTACTATGTCGTGGATGAACGGATCTCGATATAGACCATATGTCGTAGGTTTATCAGTAATAATAAAGCATGTAATTATCAAGATTTACTTTATTAATGCAAAAATTGTTGAAAATGCTGGCCACCGTACACCGAACGTCGAGATCCATTCATCCACGGCATAGTAGGGTGCATACGTACTCGACGAAAATTTAAAGTCGATTTTCTCGAAAACAAAGCCTCAAACAAAAATGTTTATTCTATATTTTCGACTTATTCTTTCGTGTAGAATCACCCCCTTTTAGCTTGTATCACCAGTTACCAAACACCCTGTATATATATATTTCCACTCGACACAACACTATCCCTTACTTTCTATCAACCAACTTTTTGACTCGTCGATTTGTCGTGACATTTAACGCGTACAGTGTCTGAATTTTTTGGATATTGTAAGATTGTGACGCTTCATTCTTAAAATCTCGGGAAGATTATGGGAATAACTGTATAGCATGTATTAATTTTCACGTAGACATCGTCGATCACTGACGCGAATCCTGCATGAATATTAATCGACACGATGAACTAGAGATAGCGAGAATTCCCTCGTTAGTATTCCGGAGAAGAATCTTTACCAGTCTTCCGACTAGTAGTTAAATTCGCCTGTCTAGTTTGTCTGAAGCTGGTGAAACCAGTTGTCATAACATTTACCACTTGATTTCTCCAACTCTACGTTATCGCGTTGTCTCCCATCGACGCAGCGTGTGCGGTTCAGAAAGCATTACCTAACGTACTATCGATTTTCCGTCGAATTTTGGTGAAATTATAAAAATGTTTAATTTCATTTTCTGTTTGCAATGTTCCAAAATCCCGACCCACTGAAATCTCATTGAAGGATCTAAGGATAAAAGGAATTTAAAATTGACAAGGTGAGACAAATTCCTGATTTTATTATAATTACCGAGAGAACCTCTTCGATTCCACTATAACCATTCTATTTCCGTGATTTAATTTTTGCACAGAAAAGAAAATATAAGCAACACGGTAAAAAAAAAGAGGAGTAGATCCACTCTTCTCTTTCCTTTCTTTCGAGACCACCGCTTATCGCTTTCAGACGATCGTTCAGTCGAAACAGATCCTTTCCCTCTCATAATCGTAACGCGTGTACGCCTCGACCGGCACGATAGAGTTTCCCGACGGACACAATAGCACAATTCCCTCTATTATGCGTGCGGGAATTGATCGCGAGCTTCTTGTGGACCGTCTATCGCGGAAGAGATCTTCCTGTTCCTGCGGTGGAAGCGCGCCAGCCACGGTGAAACGTTAATTTTCCGTTCGCGGCGGAAGTGCTGTTTGCAAAGTGACGGCGCGTAACGTCGTGAAATCGTCGCGAGAACTCGTCCACCTCGACTATATCGGTCCGGTGAAATTACGCGATTTTCCACCGTGAACTGATCGACGGAGAAAAAGAAACGCGATAAAAAGAACAGATACGAACGATTCGCGTGCAACGGTGAAAGCGTTGCTCCGAATCCCTGATTAAACAGTCTCGACTAGATAGATAAACAGTTCGTTCGTGTGCAGATTTTTCTTGATTATTCAGCGATCGAACGAAAGTTCTCGCGACTGGAATTCGTTCGTACGGTTCAACGAATCGTGGATCAACGACGTGGTGGATTTTCGTTCATCTTCTTTGCCTAGTTTCTCGGTTTGTGTTCGAGTGATCCTGGGTTGTGTAACTTTCACGCTGATACAGCCGTTCGTGTACAGGGGTACTTTCTAAAATATGAATTTCTGCCTGATATGGAGGCAGCACGATCTCACTTCTACGTTTCATGGGTAGACTGTTAAATTGGTTCGGTTTGGACGAATTTTCTGGGGTTAGATCGAGTTGAGAATGGAATCGACGATACATTTATTCTATAGTCAAACCTTACCCAATTCAATGCATTAAAATGAAGCCTAATTACCTATTGACTCTTCCAAATGAAGGATGCAGAGAAAAATTAAAATTCACAAAATTCACGAAACTACCGTAACGTTAGATTTTAGTTTACTTAATTCGTTTATTTAATTAAGAAATCACTCGACAGTGCATTGAAACACTCAGTTATTTATTTTCACGACTTGCTACATTTAAATCACCTGTGAAAACAATGCCAATTCCACGAATAATCAGATTCGACGTAACTCAAATCTGCACACCTCGATTTACACGAAATCCAATTAGATCCTGTCGCAGGAATCACAGGTGGTCTCTCAGTAAGAAAAACTGCCTTGAGCTATCCCATGGCAAATGTATCACAGTTTAACGTGAACCCAGCCACAGGCATTTCAACCAGTTCATCGACTAAAAATCACAATTTCCAACAAACGTTCCTCTTATCAGCAGTTACAGCAACGTTTCGCGCGTTATTACCGGTTCAGCGAGTTATTACACGCTTTGTTCCACTCTCCGGTAACATTTCTCTCGCTTCCGTTGTTCCGACATTACACGGATCCACCGATGTGTTCGAGATTCTACGGTACAATACAGGTGTGAGAACGAAGTGTCAACGTTTGTCAGCGGTAGGAAGTTGGCCGATGTAACCATGGAACACGGCGGCGTGGCAGAGGCCCTCGCGGCATTATGCCACGTGAAATAACCATAAACGTGGAAATTCCAACATATCCTCCGGTGTTTGCAATCGGCTCTGACCTAGTAACCATGATGCTCACCAGAAGGAAGAGCTACGATTTCACTGAGTGATCCTTTTCTTTCATATCGTGGCTGTTCATCAATTCTCTTGGCCAATGAGATTTTTCTTCTTGCAGGATGTTTCGCAACACTGGTTGCAGCGTTTACGATTATTTATCTGAGACACGTGTAACGTTTCCACGCGTTTTGTTCTTGCACGAACTGTATCGATCGCGAACGATCTATCCTTTTACTTTTATCACGTGTCGAACGAGAGATCGGA